CAGCATGGCTCAGAATACCACATTTTGCCCCACCCAGCCCCCCACTCTTGCTAGCCAGACTACTACTAACCATTTTCATCACGCCTGAATCCAATCGCTTTCCTATTCTGTCCGCTTGCCGCTGCAAAGCACCCATCGTCTCGAGAGCTCAGCCCCCTCTGGTCTCCTGCCACAGACAGGAATCACCAGTTCCACAAGACTGCCTGCCTGACTGCTACTTCGGTTTTGCATCTATCTCTTCTCGAAGATAACAGTTTCGCCGAAATTTTAAGCTTTAACATTAGTTTTATGCCTCGCCTGCCGTCTCCCATAACACAGGCCCCGAACCCCCATTTTCGCTGCGTCCATTAGGAGCCGAGTACAAAACGGATTAGGCTCAACTGAACATATTTTACTCTTCATTACTCTCTGCCCAACTCGGCCTCCTTTCACTAGCGCACTCCTCACTCGGTTCGAGCCAACTGTTGTAATATACTCAGGCTAAACCTTAATTTATCACTCAACTCCAGCTTTTGGCTGTAATAGGTGACTCAGTTAGTTGACCAAATGCGTGACTTGTTGTCGCGACGAGACCGCAGACATCGAGTTACGCCAAGCAGAAACCTAGGTCCGCAAAGATGCACAGAGCTACACGGTCCCTACTGGGACCCCGGCTCAAGAACTCAGAGCTGAGGCTCACTGAACCGTCGCTCATCATTGGCAGGCTGGGAGTGTAGATAATTGGATGAGAAACAAGGGGAAGATGAGCACTGGACGAGTAGAGAAGGAGGTAAACGATGGGAGTTGGATATGTCTGATTCTAGGATATTTCGAAATTGCTCACACCCCATGAATAAAAACTAACGTAGTCTGTATGGCTGCATGTGATGTAAGGACTGATAGTGAATTGTTTTCTACGATTAAGATTTTAGGTCTAAAGCGATGAGAGATTAACGGGAAATATTCTCATAATCACATGAAGATGTCTCAAGGCCATCAAATTTCACTTGGTTTTACCTCCAAAAAGGTGACCTTATTCAGGCCGAGCAGGAGTGCGCTTTCGACCTGGCCTGAGTCCCACTAGTATCCCAAACTGAGTGCATGTTTTTGGCCTGATACCACTACGTCCCATTGCCACAGATGCCAGTGAATCACAAGGCAGATGTAACTCCTATATCACAGTTGTATAGGGGGGTGGGCGATGAGGAAAATACGTCGTATCTATCGCCGTTGAGAATGCTACTTTTATTCGAGAGCTATAGATGATCTCGAAAAGCTCTCGTATTTAATAGTCAAGTTTTGCCCTTAGCGACAATTCCAGTGTAGAAATGTGGCATTATTGAGGCCTGCGACCACTGAAACTTGTGTTTTGGTGTATTTTTGGAAAAAAACGTAGAAAATATATTCTGATTTCCATTGGAGGTACTGATGAGACCCATGAGGCAGAGATTGGACCGTGAGGCCTATTCATATGATTGTTGGAAAATTCAACTATCACTTCTTCATCTTATTAAACGAATAGTAGTAACTAAAGTTCTTACTCAAGATCTACTGGTCGTATCAAAAGTCTTCCACACGAATATCGGCCTAAGTGTCCGCAAACTTCTATTCCTGGCTGGACTTGACTGTAGTTCTGAATTTGCATCATCATCGAATCAGCACCTAAAATAGGATTCAAGATCGAGTCATGGAGAAATGTTACCACTCTGTGGCATAGCCATGGGTCTTACTGCACCAAGTATTCACGTGACATTAATAGCAGGTAAGATTGCTCAAATATCACATCTACAATGGGAATTTTGCTGAGGCCATTACATTTGACGAGACTACCTATATTCAATGTTAGTATTTTCTCAAATGATAACTAATTCTTGGACAAGAACTTCCTTTCCCTAAGACTTGTGAGGTGATTTAAGGACGGATAGAATAGGTTTATCCACATTTCCATGCATACTCCTCTAGATGGTATTTAACTTCATACAGTCTTACCTCCAAAGAGGCTTCTTTTTAGGGGCTTGACTACAAGGCCGATTTAACCCAGGTACCGTCAGACCCCTTAGTCGGGATTCGAACCAGGGCTATAGGTGCCAGATAACTACAAGTTAGCATACTATCACACAGGCCCGGATGCCAGTGGGTGGCAGAGGAGATGTGATTTTCGTGGTAAGCCAGACCTCTCCATATTCACATTTTATAGTTGGATTGCCGAAGAAACAAATTATAGCAACCAAAGACTTTATCTATATTGGTGGTGAGTATGAAAAAGAAGTAAGTTCTGTACATACAGCATACATACATTCAGATTTTACTCTAACCCAAAATGAATATGTAATGTATGGTTGTCATAGGGCATTAAAAAAACAGACCTATTTGCAAAATATGAGATGTTTTCACCCTATTTCATTTAAGGTGATGCAAGGCTGGTAGTTGAATATCCCCACAACGGTACAGGAAAACCACATTGAATTTCACATAGCCTTACCTTCCTAAAGGTAGTATCATCCTATATTGAATGGACTGCAGTTTCGATCTTCCCTAGATATTATCAATGTCCCCAGCGGAACTAGAAACCGAGTAGTACAGCGCATAATCTTGATACGTTGATCATTAGGCCACACCGCCAGGAACGCCATCGGCAGAAGTGAATTTCAAAGAAGCCTAGGCCTTTCCTATATCAAATTTCTTTTATTTTTTTTATTTGCCATTAAATTAGACTACATTACATATTATCGTGTATAATTAGGTCTCGAGACTACCAGTGGAAACGTGAGGCCCATTAATATCATTGAGAGAGTGCTCAACTAGAGTTATTAATCCCTTTAACGAAATAGAGCGCATACATCTCATATACATGCTACACTAGTAGACTCGAAACCTGTTTAAAAGGAAAAAATATTTATAAAAATATGTTCACTAACTTTGCTGATGGTAATACATCCGGAGGCAAAACATCCGAATAAGGAGCAACTTGAAGTCATTGAAAAGTCTTTCAATGACATTATACTTCAATTTCGCATGATTCCAGCCTTAGGTCTGTATCCATCTCGACACTTCGGCCATCATCGCTGGACTGTACGGGATACACTCGACGAGTTTCATTAAACTGCATAAAATATCGCCTACCCGTCTAAAACTAGTTTTGGCAATTACGACTTTAAGCAACAACACAAACATTCTCAATTCCCGCCTCCGGTGGCCTCTTTTCTCCGTTCAGGTATGCACTTTTCCCCACTAGGTCATCTCGAGAAGCGCATTCAAGACACGTTTCAGGGCAATGGCCATTAAAATCTGTGACTGGCGTGAGAAGGCATCGATCGAATTGAGGAAATCGATCAATTGGACCCAAATAGCGCGGCTTTCAAAGCTTGCACAGCGCTCAAATGGATCGATACTACCCAAGCTCCAAATACACCTCGTTGCAGAGCAAGAGGGCGAAGTTAAAGGCTGGGCAGGAGAGACAGACATTAATAGAAAGGCTGGCTAGAAAAAGGCTGGTAGATCAGACGAGAAATGCCCACAGACTGGCCACTGCGCCAGAAAAACGACAGCCATGAGCTGAGTAAAAAGTGCGCCGTTCGAATTAAAACAACTCACGTCGAGCGGACACAACTCGGCTACCGAATGAGACGGCATGTAAGCGTCTGGTGAAAAGTGAGTGATCGATTAGGTGGCCTGAATTAGGTGGGACCGAAGTGATCGATACGCTCGTTCAGACTAGGCTGAGTCGAGGGAACAGAAAAAAACGTTCGGCAACTGCAGCTTGGACAGGCGGACCAACCTCGGGCTAAAGGAGATAGCAAAGTGATGCATGATTAAGAGCCAAGTGCTTAAAAGAGGTAGTACCACTTGTTGGAAAAACTGACCGAAGTTTAGCGCAGATTGTCGCAATTTTTTCATAATATTAGGAAGAAAAAGAGTATTTAGAGTAACTTTTAGCATAGTTTTGAGGTCACTTTAAAGAGCAGCGGAAAAATTGTTTATTTTTTCAGGCATAAAATAATTATCTTGTCGGCTTGTCGTTCCACCAGAAGCGGATAATAGTGCCCTATTTTGCCAATATGATAGTCACCGCAGGCAACACAACGCCTGTAACATCACGGCTCGCAATTCCAGATGTCAGCCTGGAGGCTGTATCACAGACGCCATGCGCTGTCAATGGAAAGCGTGAAACACTGGTAAATCATGCAAAAGTTTATCTCGCGAACGGAGCTAGAGCG